CTGCGTCGCCATGATACCGCGCCCGCCGAATCACCGACTCGCACTGAAGTGCCCGCTGGGAATGGCCCAGCGGGCAGCGCCACCGCGGCCGCGTCGGCTGCGCCATTGTTGCTAGCCGCTGCGCACGCGAGCACGCGCGGGTTAGCGCGTCCGCAAAGATGCACCAGCCAAATCCGAGAACTCATCGCAATCACCGCCGCACTGGTTTCGCAAACCAAGTTGCGGGTGGGTGGGTGGGATGTTCGCACGGGCGTGGCATTCGTCTTTTCTTTTGCAAAAAAATAGTTTATACCAACGTGTATTCAATGCACGTCGCACCTCCGATATTGCACCATCTGAGTTGGTCGAATCCACCTTCCATGGTATTGTGTCGGACCAAAAACGCAAACGAACTGCGCAAGGTGATGAGGGGAGTTGGTTTGCGATGGCGAAGGTGTTGGGATGCGCATCGGGGTGTAGCATGATGCGCGGGCGTGTGGGAAGTGGCGAGCGCGCGGGGGAGCTTTGGCGATTATGAAGAAACTGGATTGCGCATGGGGGAGACGGGATGGAGGTGGGGGAGTTGGGAAGACCATGGGGAAAGTGGGAATTACGTTGGGAAATGGGACGGAGGTGGGGAAGTTGGGAACACCATGGGGACGTGGACAGCATGGGGAAGTTGGGACGGACATGAGGAACTTGGGGGAGGCCCGAGGGAAACGCGAGGAAATTGGGACATACATCGAAGAGTTCACATGGACAGCCGGGAAGGGGAGTAGGTCCATGCGAAAATTCAAGTACGGCGCGCGGAGGATTGGCTGGATGACCGGGGAAGGCGGTGTGGCCCAGGGGACGGTTTGGACGGCGCGGGCATTCGGCGAAAATGAAATGGAGCGGGCTGGGGCGGGGGGCGTTTGGCGTGGGGGAATTCCTGTGGGCTCGATGCACCCGGTATATCTATATCTATATATATATACACATACATACATACATATATATGTGTATATTTATATATACATATCTAAAGAAAAAACAATTGCAAAATACGGTTTCCTGGATCACGGGAGGCACGATGAGGTTGGAGGTCAGTTCCAGCAAGCGGATTGTCTGTTAGGGGTGCGTGATCAGTGGTATAGATTCGGGTGTTTCTCGGTGTATGTTTGTTGAATGTGTTGTTATATGTGTTCTTGTTATATATATATATATATATGTTTTCTTTCTCTCATATATGTCTCGTTATGTTTCTCTCTCTCTCTCTCTCTCGCTCTCGCGTTCTCTCTCTCTCTCTCTCTTTCTCTCTCTCTCTCTCTCTTTCATGTTTCTGTTCTTTCTCTCTCTCTCTCTCTCTTTCTTTCGTTCTTTCGGAGCCAGTCGGACAGACGCCGTAGCTGCGGGCCCCCGCGCTCCCCAGCTTCGTCCAGACGCGCCGCGCGGCCCCCGTGTCTTCAGCCGCGAAGCCCCCACAGGGCCCCCCGTGGACCAGACGGGCACCCGACGCCCCCCGGATGGGCCCGGGAACCCTCCGAGATCACGCGGGGAGCGATGAGGAGGGATGGGAGGGAGGAGGAGGAGGAGGAGGAAGTGTAGGATGGGGAGGAGGAGGAGGAGGAGGAGGAGGAGGAGGAGGAGGAGGAGGAGGGGATAGAGGAGGGGAAAGAGGAGGAGGAGGGGGAGGAGGAAGGGGAGGAGGGCGGGAGCTGAGTGGGCCCTGGAAACGACAGGGCCGTTTTTGTTACCGGTTCCGTTTTGCCGTTTCTCTGCCGGTTCCGGTGCCGTTTTTCTACTGGTTCCGTCGCCGTTGTTTGACCAGTTCCGGCTCCGGCTCCAGTCCTGGAGCCGTTTGGTTGCCGTTTCCGGTCGCCGTTTTTTGGCCGCTTCCATTTTCAAGGGACCCTTTTTCGTGAACGGTGAAAACACGGCCCTGCCGTTTCCGGGGCCCACACAGCCCCGAACCCCGCAGCCTTGGCCAGATAGGCCCGGGTCACCCGCCGACCTCAGCCGGACGGCCCCGGAGCCTCCTTTTGCCTTAGCCGGAGGCGGGCCCCCGACTGCCCGAGCCTTCGCCGCACGGGCCGTCTTGGTGGCCATAGCCGGACGGGCCCCATAAAACGACGCGAAGATCGGGACAAAATCGGATCGGGATAACTCGAAATCTCTGAGAATCGGCGGGTTTGGAGGATGTATTGGGCGCCGCGGCCGCTCCAGAGCGTTCCGGAACGCTCTGAGAGCTCTCCGGAACGCTCTGGATCGATTTATCCTGATCCTAGCCTGGTTTTACCCCAGATCCTCCCGGCCAAAACCGAACGGGTTTTCGACCCCCCATTTTTGGCCGGACGGACCCCCCAGCCTTAGCTGGACTGGCCCCGAAGCCTCCCAGCTTCAGCTGGAGAGGCGCCCAGAGTTCCCAAGCGAACCGCCGCGCAACTCCTCCAGGGTAAGTTCAGACGGGCACCAGAGCCCCCTGCCTCAGCCAGACGGGCCTCCAAGGGCCCCATGCCTTAGCCCCCTGGCATTAGCCGGACGGGACCCAGAGCCAACCTTAGCTGGACGAGCGCCAGAGCCCCCCGGCCATAGCCGGACGGGCCCTTGAGCCCCCGAGCCTTAGCCAGCCAACGAGCCCCCCAGTGCTAGCCGGACGGGCCCCGAAGCTTCCCAGCCTCAGCCGCGCGGGCCCCGAACCCCCCGAGCCGTACGTAGCCAGACGGGCCCCAGAGGCTTGTTTTCTTTATGGTCGGTGGGCAGGCGGGTCCAACAACCTCCCATAGTTTGACCCGTTTGCGGGCTCGTGGGTTTGGCCCGCCGCGGGGCGTCCCAGCGTTGGCCGAGCGAACCCCCCATCCGCATCCCCCCGAGCACCCCAAACGCGCCCTGAAGCTCCCGAGCTTCCTTCGGACTGACACGGACGTCATATTGGAGGCACAAGTCTTTTGGCCTGCAGGCCCTGGGTTCGTGGAACCAGTGCGCGTCGGGCCGGTGGACGCTGCTGGTATGTTGCGGTGTTCCTAGGTTCCGCGGCCCGTTCATGTCTTCCGCGTGCGCCCCGTGGCCCCATATTCGGACGCGCGCCTGCAAGTGCCCTCCCTGAGCCGCGCCCATCAGCACCCACCAGGCATGCTCCGACCAGCTCGATTTCCAGATATCCCTATCCCCCTGGAGCAGCGAGGTTTGCGAAGGCTTCGATGATCCTAGCGGGGTGTTGGAGGCATCGAAGAAATTCGAGGCCTTGCACATTGATTGTATATTGACGCGCGATGCGCGGGAGGCTCGGGGGCGCCCCCCTCTCAGGTTGAGATCTTCCCCCGTAAGCTCTTCGGTGGCCACCCCAGCTTTGAACCGATGGCGCCCTCGGGCCGCAAGCGGGCCATGGCCCAGGACCACTGCGGGCTGCAGGGCGCTTGGGAGAAGTTGATGGCTGCGGAATATGGTGGGGCCCTTGCCAGCTTCTTCATGTCGGCCCGACGTTCCTCGAGGCCATCCAACTTTCCCCATGCCCCTCCCACGTCCCGTCTGTCAGTATCGCCCCTCTCAAGGATCCAGACATCGGTCGAAGTCCCCCACGGACATCGAAGCTCCCCCAGTGACCGCCCAACTTCCGCATGCCCCCCGCTCCAATGCGCGAGCCCCCTCATGGCCATCCAGACTCCTCCACCTCAAAACTCGCCAGACACTCACATCGAAGCCGAGTCTCCTTCCTGGGAGATGGATCTCATCAAAACATGTTTTGCGCAACACAGGTTGCGCACCACATACATTGCACCCCATGCATTGCACTGGTTTTGCCCAACCTGGGTTGGACAACGTATGTAGCACCCCATAGTTCGCACATTATGTATTGCTAGAAACGCGCTGAACAGGGAGAAGGAAAATGAGGACCAGCGGGAGGAGGAGGAGCAGGAGGAGGAGGGTGACGCGTGCGCTCGCTTTGCCCTTGTGCCTCTCCACTTCGAGCCCTCTTGGGGCTTCAGCCGCTGTGCCCTCAGTGCACGAGTGAATGAACAGGAGGAGGAGGACGACGACGTTGGCGAGGGCGAGCGCGGGCGCTCGACTAGAGCGCTCGACGCCACAGCCGCTGTTGCAGTCATCGTCGCGTCGCCGCCGTCTTGGTCGTCGAAGCCGCCGCTGTGGTCGTCGACGTCGATGCCGCCATCGTCGTGGACGTATGTCAAGGGCGCCCTCGAGGGCGCGAAGTTACTCGCGCTTCGCGGTTCGGCTCCGATTCCTCCTCCTCCTCCTCTTCTCCCTTGGGAGGCAGCGCGAGAGCGCGAAGTGATTCGCACTTCGCGCGGCGCGAAGCGCGAAGTTGGGAGCCCTTGTTTGTCCTCGCCGTCGCCCCACGGGGCCCACGCCCCCCCCGCCTCTCGAGGCGCCTCGGGCCCCCAGTGGCGACGAGCGCCGCCCCGGGGCGCCGCGGGGCCGCCTCCAGAGCGAGAGCGACCGGTGGCGTCGAAGGCCTCTGGGGTTAAGTCGGGCCTGTCCCTCTACGGTAGGTTTGCGTCGTGTCGACCAGCGGCGACCCCAGCGCGGGCGTTCAAGGTTGAACGCCGCCGGCGACCCAGAATCGGTCGATGTTGAACGATCGGACGTTGCGGCAGCGGCCGATCGTTCAAGGTTGAACGATCCCTGCGGTGTCAAAAACCAACGCTGGGGTCGGCACGACACGAACCTGCCGTACAGGGGGAGTATCCAAAGACAGTCAAAAAAATAGTCCGGGGGCTATTTTTTGGGAATCTCGTTTTGCCATTTGGGAGCATTTTCTTCGTCGAAGATCCCCCCGTAGGGGGACACGCCCGACGTAACTCGGGGGGGCAGGTGGCCACCCTCGGGAGGCCCAAGCGCTGACAATGGGGCCGGGCACGGCCAGAAGCTTCGGCCCTCAGTTTCTCGACGTCGTCGTCGTCGTCGTCGTCGTGGCCGCCGAGCTCGTCGCCAGCGGCGGCGTCGCCTGCGGCGCCCTCGGCCCCGCGGTCTCCGCGCGGCGGCCCCCGTCGCTGCCGCCGCCGAGCCCCTCGCCGCGGGCGCAGGCCTTGCCGGCCGCCGCGCAGCCTCCGGGGCCCCTGGCCGAGGCACCGCCCGGCGACGCGCAGGCCGCCGCCTCGGCGGCCGCTCGGAGCCTCGAGCGCGGTCGTCGCCGTCGCCGTCGGCGTCGTCGTTGCGGGTCGGCGCGTTCGTCGCCGCCGCCGTCGCCGCCGTGGTCGTCGCCACGGGCGTCGTCGCCGTCGCCGTCGGCGTCGTCGCCATCGGTGTCGGCTTCGTGGCCGCTGTCGTCGGCGTCATCGTGGCGCTTGTCGTCGTCGTCGTCGTCCTCGTGGTCGTGGTCGTCGGTGGTGGTCGCCGCTGACGGCCTTGATTCAGCCGCTTTTCCTGATGCCTTTGCTTCTGTCCACGCTGTTGCTGATACTGCTGTCTGTACTGCTAATTACATTGGTCTTGTTCATCTTGCCGCTTCCCGCTGCAGACACTGGCACTAAGGTTGATAATGGCTGCCGGTAGCACTCTGAGCTGCTTTTAAGGATGTCTTGCTGGTGAGGCATTCCGAGCCGCACAAGGGCTCTAATATATCCAGACAAGATAAAGACAGAGTTTCGGCCTTTTGCTTTCGACGAATCCATGCACGAAGCAGGTGAAGCTCACCTTCTTGGCATCTGTGGAATTCACGCAAAGGCTCCGAAGGCTCCCACGCAGGAGTGGGAGCGTCGTGTCCCGCCTGCGTTTTGGATGCGTTCTCTGAGTCCTCGCTCTTGCTCACCTCATCATCACTCCTCCTTCCTAGCGAGTGGTTTTGATACATGTGTCATGTGTGACATGTCTCGCCTCGGGAATATCATGGAGTACTACACTGGGACGTGTTGGTCCTTTCTCATTAGCCCTGCAAGTGGCTAGTCTTGATTGGTCTTGTCGGCGCAGTATCCAGGTCATCTTGGCGCATTACTGTCGCCCTTTTGGAGGCTTGTTGGGCTCTCTCGGGGCCTTCGAGAACTCTCTTGGGGCCATGGTTCAAGGGAAGAACAGCCACCCGGACCCGAGAATCGGCGTTTACTAAACAGCCCTGCGCGTTCACTTACTAAACAGCCCTACATTGATCGATTACTTCTTCCGGTGCGCTTACTCTATGGCTTCGCTTGTCGGGGTGGTTATGACGGGGGGGGGATTTGTTGCCTTGTGCTGGTGGAGGCCCTTGGTGGTCTGCGGTTATGATGTTCCAACCTACTTTAGCTTTGACCGCCAGGAAGAATCTCGAGCGCCCCAAAAAGTACCGAAACTCAAGGGTTTTCACCCGTCGGGCCTTGACACTGTTTCGACACCGTTTCGACACCCTTTTGACATTTATCCGGGTGCTCGAAATTATTTCTGGGATGCGGTCCTTAAGTAGGATGGTGACAACATAACCCGAGAAGCCCAAATCAAGCATTTTCCCTGGATGTTTCTATGATGTTGTAGTGTTCTCGCCCTTTCGGGTTTCCGAAGCTCTAAGACGGCCCCAGAAATCTCCAAGACCGCCCGAAGACGGCCCGACTGACCCCCTCCTCCTCCTCCTCCTCCTCCTCCTCCTCCTCCTCCTCCTCCTCCTTCTCCTCCTCCTCCTCCTCCTCTTCCTCCTCCTCCTCTTTGGGGGTCCCTCTTGGGTTCCAGCACGGGGCCACCCAGGCCATCCAGGGGGGCCGTGGAGACCCCCCGGGATGCCAACAAGGACGAGGAGGACAAATTGCCGTCGTTGACGTTTGTCGGGAGGGGAATAAACACGCAGACACAATTAATCGTCGACTCCCAGAAAACATGGGAAAATATGGGAAGTGGGGGGGGGAAGACACAAGCCCAGAACAGATGGGGAACTATGGGAAGTGGGGGGGGAAGACAAAAACCAAGAACATCTATGACAATATGGGAAGTTGGGGGGGAGGACAAAATCCCAGAACATGTGGGAAAATAGGGGGAGTCTTTTTTTTCGTGTGTATTTATTTGCGTGTCCTGGGGCCCCTTCAGTTTGGCCTCGGGGTGGTATCCCTGAGGGTCTGGGGCTCGCCGCGGCATAGTTGGTCCGTCTTTCCAAGCCTTGTGCAGCAATGCGGAGGCCGTTCGCGGGCGAACCGCCAAGTCTGAGGCCAGTCTTGACGTGTCGGAGGCTATCTTGGGTCCATCTTGAGCCACGTTGGACGCTCACACTCAAACTCCTTGCGGTCCGCATGTTCCAGCCCTCTCCGAAGGAGTTCATGGTCCGCATGGTGGCAAAGGGCGAAGGGAGAGGATGGTTTATTCAAGCGTCTTACGCAATGCCGCCGACCCACAGAAAAGGGATGAAGTCAACGGGTGAGGCCTTTTTGGGGGCCTCTTCGGGACCATCTGGGGGCCTCTGTTGGGCCTCTTAGAGGCCTCTTCGGGCCTCTTGGGAGTTTCTTGTGCTCCTGCTCGGGGGTCCTGTTGGGGCGGAGGGCTCAGAATGTCAGTTCGAGTTGCGTTTCTTGGGCTCCTCTTGGCGCCCTGTTGGGGCTCCCTTGGGCTAGCTTGCTCGCCCCTTTGGCCGTCTCGGGACCCTCTTCGGCCCTCCTGGGGCCCTCTTTGGGTCTTCTTGGGCCTGTTAGAGCGCTTGAGCCGTGCTGGACGCTGTCAGATCAAAACGTGCAGGTAGACTCATAATATAAGCTCTTCTATGGAATTGGCCGATTCTTGCTTCTTGGGGCTCTCTTGGGGTTCGTCTTTGAGCCCTATTGGATCGTCTTTGGGACCTCTTGGGCAGTCTTGAGGCCATCTTGATCGTCTTCGGACCCTTCGGCGTGCTGGTGCCCAGCTCGAGCCAAGTTAGATGGCATCCCGGAGTGCGTTGGCGAGCTTGTCCCCATCCACCCCCCCGACCCTCGGGGGCGGAAAAGAGGGGGGTGATGACTAGGGGGGGGGGGATTTCATGGCGGGGGCCATGTTTTTTCCTCAGATTTCATGGCGCCTCTTCTTATTTTATTACGTCCCAGGCCCCCCCGCTGGGCCGCGCACACGTCGCCGGTCATGATTTGCACCCCCCCCTCTTGGACACCCCCCTCTTGGCCGCTCCCGAGACCCCCCCCCCTTTCCGACCCCGGGGGTGAGGGGGAAAGGGGGAGAGGGACAGCCAGTCATCTCACCCGCATTTCTATCCCCGACAAGCGGGGGTCGGCGGACTTCTGGAGACGCTGATCCATGAAACCAGCTGCACCCAGAGGGCTGATTATCAGGAGGAGAAAAGCACGCAGGCACAATGAATCGTCCACTCCCAGGAAAATATGGGAACACATGGGAAGTTGGGGGGGGAAGACAACAAAGTAGGAAAAAATATATAGGGGGATATTTTGATTTGTGTGTATTTATTTGTGTGTCCCAGGGCCCCTTCAGATTAGGCCCGCTACATGATCTAAGTCCGAAGTCCCTTTTGCACGCCAGGAACAACATTGAATCAGAGTATGCAAGATGGTCTGTAGAACTCCTGACAACCTAACAGGGGGGCTCCGTCTAAGAGGGGGCATGCTTTTTCATGTTGCTGGCGGGTAGGTATCCTTCGTCGTCTTCTCGGCCCATCTTCTGCGCAGGCGTCGGCATCAGTGGTGGGCAACCTGCCGTCCAGTGTATAGGCTTATGCTAACAGGCGTAAAGTGGACGTGTTTAACCGGCGGCTTTCAATATTTGTTCGCAAACGTGGGACAAGCCCAGGGACGCCGCAGTGCACGCCGGGAAGCCGACCCCGGCTGGGCCCATGGCTCAGCCTGGATCCGCGTCGGCGTGCAGCTGGGGCCTCCCTGGCGAAGCTAGCACGACACTGGTGGCGATTAGATCGGTGGCGGCCCAGTCGACCCCAAGCAAACCATCCCCTTCGTGACGCCCCCCTCGCATCTCGGGTGTTGCTCGAAGTACCCATGGCCCAAGGTACCCCCAGGATTCTCAGGGTGGCCCAGACGGCCTCCAGGGCAACCCTCACGAGGCCCAAGGGGCACCGGGGGCCTGAAAAATTGACCGAAAAGTCGGGGGCACCTTGGGCCAGGGGCACTTCCAGCAACACCCGAGCATCGCCCCAAGTCGTACGTGTGCGGCTGGAGGGAAGGTTCAGAGGCAAGGGGGACGCCACAGAAGGGGATGGTCTGCGAGAGGTCGGTTCGGCTGCGCCCGAGCGGACTCGAGCCGCCGCTGTGTTTTTGCTCGTGCGAAGTGTCCGACCACCTGAGGCTGCCTAAGGAGGCGGCCGCCGAGGCTGGACGTAAGTCCTCGCATGGGGAGGTTGCGGCAGCCCTGCCAGGAGCACGCTGGAAGTGCAGTCTACTTTCCTCGGCGGCGAGCCAGGGGGGAAGTGATCGGGGGTGGCCAGAACCCCCAACAGTGACACGTCGATTAGTGAATTGTCCGTTTTCGGTTCTCGAGGGGGCGCCGTGGCCGTTATTTTCCAGGCTTGCGCCCGCTAGGTTTGGGCCTCAGGTCGTTTTCACTAAACCACGTTTTACTAAAGGGGGGTCTGTCCATCCCCGAAGTGAGAAGGGGTGGGCCTTCTCAGAAGGCTTGGAAGTCCCCTGGCCTCCTGTAGGGGCACAAAAAGTGGCATAAACATACAAACTCGGAGGTCCGCGCGGATTTCTCGGATCGGCGCTAGAGCCCCCCGGCGGCGCCTCCGGCGCCGCCCCTGGCGCGCTCCGCGCGCCAGGGAGGGGGGGCCCAGCGCCGATCCGAGAAGTCCGCGCGGACCTCCGAGTTTTGACGTTTGTGTCACTTGCCGTTCCCCTAATGAGGAGGTCCCCTGGCCTTCAGAGGTGTCCAGAGCTTCCTCGGGAGGTCCCCTGGCCTTCTGAGAGGTGCCCAGAGCTTCCTCGGAGTGCGGGGACCACTTCTCCGAAGGCCGGAGGGCTCCGGAGAGGCCCCGCCGCCCTCCGAGGGGGCCTTCTCCTTTTCGCCCCCCCCCCCCAAAGGTGAAATCGGGCCCCTCCCTCTGCAGGGGCAATATTCAAACATACTCATAAAATAGTCTGGGGACTGTTATTTTTGTTTGAGTATTCTCTGAGCATTTTGGAGTATGTTTTGAATATGTTTTCTTTTTCGTCGAAAATCCCTTTGTTGGGGGACACCAGTCGGGGGCCCGACCACAAGGGACCTTCCACGAGAAACCCGATCCTGGGATCCCGGGGCTTCCGTCGGTGTTTGCCGTGGGAGCGCCGCGCCCTCCATGGCAGAGCCATCGAGACCCAAGAGGCCCAGGGCAGTCTGGAAGCTAGCAGGGTGTTTCTTGGCATGGGCTCCCACTGTAGGGGGACACGCCCGACTTCACCCAACTGGCGCGCCGCCGAGTTCTGCCAGCTCGTGCGCCGCGCGCCGTGGTCGGCTTGCTGCACCCAGGGCCGGAGGCGGGCTCGCGTCGGGGAGCCGCCCGGCAGCTCTTCCAGAGGCCGGAGGACCCCCTGGGGGCGCGCAGGATCATCCTGTCCTTCCTCGCCCTCCTCGCCCTCCTCCTCCTCCTCCTCCTCCTCCTCCTCCTCCTCCTCCTGCTCCTCCTCGCCCTCCTCCTCGCCCTCCTCCTCCTCCTCCTCCTCCTCCTCCTCTTTTTCCTCCTGCTCATCGTCCTCAACCTCCTCCTCCTCCTCCTTGTTCGTGAGGCGCGGAGGGGGCGGCCTTCCGAGGAGGCAGGGGGGGGCCCCTGGAGGTGAGCCCGGCGGGAGGCCTCGGAGCAGGATTCTCGGCGAGGGGTTCCCGAAGAGCAGGAGGACTCCTGAGGTGCCACTCGCCCTCTCGGAAGCCACGCCCCCTCGCGCGCCGCTCGTGATGGTCCGCTTTGGCCGCCTGTGGGGCCGCGTGGCTATTCTTAAGTCGGGCCCGTCCCCCTACAGGGGCATTTTCGACGAAAAATAAAGAATGTCCCCCAAATATTCAAAAAATACCTCAAAAACACTCTGGGAACTATTTTTGGTTTATTTGTTTGCCTTTGGGGGGTATTTGGGGGATATTTTTTATTTTTCGTCGAACATCCCCCTGTAGGGGGACACGCCCGACTTAATGCTATTCCCCGCCCTGGCCCCCTGGTGGGCCAATTTGGTTGGCCAACCGACCACGGCTCATGCTCCGTCGTCTTCCGCCCGTTGTTCCTCCTCCCATGTCGTCGATCGATTGTCTGGGGCATCCCGTGGGGGGCTGGGGACCAGGTGTTTGTGTGTGGGCATCATGGCAGGGGCTGGAGGGGATCTGTCAGATTTTGTGGCCGCCTCTTCTTTCAACACGCTCCCTGGCCCCCCCTCGTCCGTGCACGTTTCTTGGGCCATGATGCGCTAGCCCCCTTCTTTCTGGCCGGCTCCCCTCTCCGGCGAAGCCGACACTCCTGTCGTCGATCCATTGAGGATCGAGGAATTGCTTGAACGCTTCTGGCGTTCCGTGGGCTCCGAAGGCCTCCGGGGACCTCCGGCCGGAGGCCTCCGTGGGCTCGAAGGTCGGGGGAGGTAGAGGTGGGGCAGGGGCAGAGCCGGGGCTGGGAGGAACGCCGCTCCGAGCGGCTCCTGGACGAAGGAACTGTTGGCATCCGACTTGGTTCGTTCCCTACCTCCGGGCGGGGATAGGACGAGGAGTAGTCCGTTCCAGGTCATTCTGGAACTCCAACGCTCTAAGAAGGCCGCGGCGCCCGAGACATCTTCCAGAGCCTCGGGATCTCAGAGATGCCCGACTTGTTCTTGCCCGATGTTCTCCTCGTCCTGACTTCTTCTTACACATCTTGGGATAGCCCCCCCCTTTCCGAACCCCCGAGAGGGCCCCCCATCACGCCTCAAAAGCGAGAGCCTGAGCGCGAGGGCAGGTACCTAGAGTGTCTTGTGTCGCAGCGGTGCGCCGCCTTGCTCTTGCGGCGAATGCTCCACAGTCCCAGTCTTCAGTCTGGCGTGTCCCTCCACAGGTGGAATATTCAATAAATGAAAACAATAGTCTGTGGACGATTGTCTGTGCTCTTTTGACTATCTATGCCCCTGAGATTCACAGGGTGGGGATAATCAAGTTCGGAGTCTCGGGAGGATAATATTTTGTTCAGGCAGGTGGCAACATAAAGGATGTTGAGGAAGAATATGAAAATGATGATGATGATGATGATGATGATGATGATGATGATGATGATGATGTTGGTGATGGTGATGGTGATGGTGATGGTGACGGTGATGGTGATGGTGGTGATGATGGTGATGATGATGACGATGATGATGATGTGGTAGTCGTAGTAGTAGTAGTAGTAGTAGTAGTAGTAGTAGTAGTCGTAGTAGTAGTAGTAGTCGTAGTCGTAGTCGTAGTCGTAGTCGTAGTAGTAGTAGTAGTAGTAGTAGTAGTAGTAGTAGTAGTAGTAGTAGTAGTAGTAGTAGTAGTAGTAGTAGTAGTAGTAGTAGTAGTAGTAGTAGTAGTAGTAGTAGTAGTAGTAGTAGTAGTAGTAGTAGTAGTAGTAGTAGTAGTAGTAGTAGTAGTAGTAGTAGTAGTAGTAGTAGCGTAGTCGTAGTAGTAATAGTAGTAGTAGTAGTGGTAGTAGTGGTAGTGGTAGTGGTAGTGGTCGTAGTAGTAGTTGTACGACTACTGTTATTACTACTACTACTACTGCTATTGCTACTACTACTACTACTACTACTACTACTACTACTACTACGAATACTACTACTACGACCACCAACCACGACCATCTACTATTACTGTTCCTACTAGTATTACTACTACCACCACCACCACCACCACTACTACTATTACTACTACTGCTGCTACTACTACTACTACTACCACTACTACCACTACTACTACTAGGATGGCTACTACTACTACTACTATTACTACTACTACTACTACTACTACTACTACGACTACTACTACTACTACTACTACTACGCCTACTACTACTACTACTACTACTACAACTACTACTACTACTACTACTACTACTACTACTACTACTACTATACTACTACTACTACTACTAACTACTACTACTACGTCTACGTTTATTTCTATTACTACTACTACTACTACTACTACGACTACTACTACTACTACTAGTTCATATTGTTGAGGATGTAGGGGAGGGAGGAAGGAGGAGGGAGGAGGGGGGGGAGGAAGGGGGAGAGATTCCGAAACAAAAATCAATATGCAAACCTATGAACCTCATTTCGCAAAATCTGCAGATGCATGGAAAGGTGTCCTAGTCGTCGTGCGGGGATTCATCTCAGGCATTTTCCGGCGATAGTAGACTCCAGAGATAAACAGTTCGCCCTTGGGGGGGAGGGCAGGGAGTAGTCGTAATCGCAGCAGTTGGTGATAATGGAGATAATTGTGATGTAGTAGTACTCGTCGTCATCGTAGGCGTCGTCGTCATCGTAGTAGTAGTAATAGTAGTAGTACTAGTAGTAGTAACAGTAGTAGTAGTAGTAGTAGTAGTAGTAGTAGTAGTAGTAGAGGTAGTAGAGGTAGTAGCAATAGTAGTCGTACGTAGTACTAGTTGTAGTAGTAGTAGTAGTAGTAGTAGTAGTCGTCGTAGTAGCCGTCGCCGTAGTAATGGTAGTAGTAGTCGTAGTAGTAGTAGTAGTAGTAGTAGTAGTAGGATTCGTCGTCGTAGTAGACGAAATCGTCGTCGTAGTAATAGTAGTAGTATTCGTAGTAGTATTCGTAGTAGTAGTAGTAGTAGTAGTAGTAGTAGTCGTCGTCGTCGTCGTCGTCGTCGTCGTCGTCGTCGTCGTCGTCGTCGTCGTCGTCGTCGTCGTCGTCGTCGTAGTAGTAATAGAAGTAGTCGTAGTAGCAGTACCAGTAGTAGTAGAAGTAGTAGTAGTAGTAGTAGCAGTAGTAGTATCAGTTGTCGTAGTCGTAGTAGTAATCGTAGTAGTATGTAGTATGTAGTTAGTAATCGTAGTAGTAGTAGTAGTAGTAGTAGCAGTAGCAGTAGTAGTAGTAGTCGTAGTCGTAGTTAGTAGTAGTAGTAGTAGTAGTAGTAGTAGTAGTAGTAGTAGTAGTAGTAGTAGTAGTAGTAGTAGTAGTAGTAGTAGTAGTAGTATGTAGTAGTAATAGTAGTAGTGGTAGTAGTAGTAGTAGTAGTCGTAGTAGTAGTAGTAGTAGTAGTCGTAGCATTAGCAGTAGTAGTAGTAGTAGTAGTAGGTCATGACAGTGATTGTAAGATAATGATATTGCTGATGATGATGATGACGACGCTGCTGATGATGTGGTAAGAAGATGCAATATACGATTGGTATTTTTCCCACTGATCCTGAAGTTCGGCCCCGCCGCTCCCCACCTCCAACCAAAACTGCACTGACCGGAGATAATCAACACTCAGGTCGTAAGGGGAGATGCTTTATTATTTCTGGCATCGTAGCTTTACTTTTTTAATTTACTTTTAAAACTGCTTGCTCATAGTTTTACTATTTTTAATTTTCTTCCAAAGGCCGCCTGCAAGAGGACATGCCCGACCTAATCCTAGTTGCCTCGCTGCCGAAGCGGCCTGCCGCGCCAGGCGGCCCGCGCGTGCCGCCGCGTGAGGTCGCCGTGCCATCCCGCGTGAGACCCGTCTTGGATCGTCGCTGGGCTGCTTGGAGCTTTGTGGGCCCCGGAAGCGGCAGGGCCGTTTTTTTCACCGTTTCCACAAAAATGTCCCTTGAAAATGGAAACGGTAAAAAAACGGCGACCGGAAACTGCAAACAAACGGCTCCAGGATTGGAGCTGGAGCCGGAACCGGCCAAAAAATGGCGACGGAACCGGTAAAAAAACGGCGTCGGAACCGGCAACAAAAACGGCAAAACGGAACCGGTAAAAAAACGGCTTTGTCTCGGGGGAGCGTAAGACCCGGGTTTGCCAGGACTCGGGTTCGCCATCGTTTTTTTGACGACCGCGCCTCGGATTTTGACGAGGAGGAGTTTCGTGGGATGTCTGCAGCGGGAGGCCTCGTCAAAATGCAGGCTCGGCCTCGTCGTTTTTTTGACGACCTCGTCGGGGATTTCCGAGTCCCCTGTACCCAGGTCTTACGTCCCCCTGATCGTCGTTTCCAGGGCCCACTAAGGCTTGGAGTGTGCCTTGTTTGCCGTCTTCGAGTGCAGTAGGTTCGCGTCGCGTCGACCGGCGGCGACCCCGTCGCCAGCGCTCAATGTGGAACGCCGCCTGTGACCCAGACTCGGTCGATGTGGAGCGACCTGATGTTTCGAAAACGACTGATGATTTCAGATGCAACTCTTGGGAGGTCAAATTCTGTTTTCGCCCTGGTCCGAAATTCGGTTTAATCCAGCTAAATCCCGCTTAATCCCGCTTAATCCCGTTTAATCCAGCTTAATCCCGCTTAATCCGAGGCCCATTCCGGCGTAACAGCCCCAAATGGGGCTTAATCCTCCTTAATCTTTCCGACGAAAACCTCCCAGCAGTTGCCTCCTAAGATAATTCAAGGTGTAACGATCCCCGCGGTGTCAGGAACCGACGCTTGGGTCGACACAACACGAACCGGCGGTATCTCAGGGTGTTCAGGCTAGCTGACCGCTAACGTCCACTCACCAGCGGCGGCAATTGAGGGCGACGCCAGGTGCGGCAAGGCAGCGCAGGGAAGGACAGGCCAGGACAGTGCAAGCACGCCAGTCTAAAGCAATGAACGCTGGTACAGATCCTCAGTCACAATGTCCAGCGAAGTCAGCACATGCAAATGACAGAATGGGGCATAAGGCTTGGCTGGGATGGGCAGGGCTAGGCAGTAAGGAGGGAGAGGTGTCGAGTATGATGATAACCGGGATACGACATGGGGACGTGTGGTCCGCAATTTGCGTTGCGGATGAAAGTAGTGGTGGAGGAAGGGGCACGGATGAGTCAGAGGGACAAACACCTTCGCAGGCTAGGAGGAGCAATGTCTGGCTCTGCGCACTGGGCTCGACCGAGAGTCTGAGTACGAATGTATATTTCCACGGCAGTGAATTTACATGGCCACTTCCCAGCCCACCGAACGAAGAAGAGCACATCAGGCACAGTTGTGCGCCGCCAGTGCGACCCGTGCCTCCGACATTCCTGTGGCAATATGACCCTCGGAAGGATCTTGTGTCCTCACGCGTGTCCTGTCCAATCAAGGCCGACGTGTACACCTACGCCGCATTGCGATGACGCGGATCGCCGCAGATCGGGCAAGCGCAGGTTGCTTCTCGTCCTCCGCCCCCTCTGGAGGTCTCCGGAGGTCCTCACGTGGCGCCCCATGAGGCCTCCAGAGACCCCCTGAGCGCCCAAAGGCCCAGGCAAGTCCAAGTCGTGATCCTCGAGCCTTGAACCTCACTTTTGACTTGGGAGGAGGAGGAGGAGGAGGAGGAGGAGGAGAAGGAGGAGGAGTTGGAGGAGGAGGAGGAGGAGGAGGAGGGAGGAGGAGGAGGAGGAGGAAAAGAAGGGAAAAGGGGAAGGCGGAGGCAGCCCGTTCTTCCAGCCCTGCGCTCGGTTTTTAATCGGGCGGGCTGGAGCCCCAAGCAGGCGGCCTGTGTCCCCCCAGTCCCGGGCTGGAGGTCAGCTTCGCTCCTCCTCCAGGTCACGACGAGCTTGAGGGGGTGGATGAAGGTAGCTCGGGTTGAAGGCGGACATCGGACGTGTGATCGATTTGCTCTGAGCAGCGTCAATGTTGATATTGTTTGGTCCAAGGCAGTTGCAGGCTCTTCGGTGAAGTTCAAGTTGCGCTCTTTTCATTGTGCCCCGTCCCCATTCCGTGAAGTGATGAGATGTTGGTTTCATTTTTTCTCTTCCTCCCTTTCCTCGTCGATTTTCGAGGGTCAAGACCGACGAGCGAGGTTGTTTACGAGCGAGATTGTTGGATGCGTGGGGCCACTATCACTGCGCATCCTGCCCTTCCATGGTGAGAATTCATTTCCGCAGCATGCGCTCCCATTCATCCTTCCCTCCGCCGCACATATCATGATTACCTCCGCGTTTTTCTCAACTATCCTTGATTATCATCCTCCGTATCATTCCTCGTATGTTCCCATTGTGCCCCTGACATGCTGCAATATCGGTGTGCTCCCCACGCCGCCGCTGGAGCGATATCCACACTTGTTGAGCGGATGTATGTCGTGCAGCATGGCGCGTGAACGATGGACGCTCTGCAGTCGAGCACGCACTCGGGGGCATGCGGCCCCGGCTCTCGGTTCGGGGGCGTGCGCGATGCATCCGTGCCTGGCACGATCTCTCGTGCGCACCCCGGGCGTGCGCGATGCATCCGTGCCCGCACGATCTCTCGTGCGCACCCCTCCTCCTCACGTGATTCGATTCCCGATTCGACCACGGCCCGCGCCTCGCCCGCCGACCTCCCTTTGCGGAGAGAGCCTCTCTGGGTTCCTTGCATTAGTCAGGAGGAGAAAAAACACACAGACACAATTAATCGGTGATCCCCAGGAACATATGGGAAAATATGGGAAGTGGGGGGGAAGACGAAAACCCAGAAAATATTGGAAAATATGGGGGATAGTTTTATTTGTGTGTATTTATTTGTGTGTTCCAGTTCCCCTTCAATTAGGGCTATCAGCTGGGCGCTAGAAACCTGCCTGTCTAATGGTTTACGCGCCTCCAGTAATCCCTCAAGCAACACAGGGGGGGATGGAAACCTCGTCTAACGCGTAAGCTGATTTAGATTCTTCCCCTGGGAGGTCCAGTGCAGATTAGAGGATCTACCAAATGGTTGGTCCCTGCGGTCCCCGGTGCTCCCCAGCCTTCCAGGGGTGCTGTTAAGTCGGGCCCGCCCCTCTACAGGAGGGATATCCAAAACTAGTTTTAAAACAAATAGTCTGGGGACTATGTTTTGAGTATGTTTTGACAATGTTTGAGCATGTTTGGGGTATTTCTAATCTTTCGTCGAAAGTCCCTCTGTAGGGGACACGCCCGACTTAAGGGTGCTGCCCAAGGTGTCCTCGGCCCATGGTCCATGGTGCCCCAGGGAGGCCCCTCGCTGCCTGCCGATCACACGGGCCCCCGGAGGGCCACAGGGTGTCCAGAGTGGCGCGAAAACAGCCCGTGGACCCTCTTCGACTAGACGTGAGAGTGACCTTTCGCCGGAGTGACCTTTCGTGCGGGCCCAGTGGGGCCCCCCAATCGCCGAACGCGATGCGATGGTGGCGTCTTGCGCGCCTGAGTTTGGTCCCCCCGCGGCCCCCAAAAAGCCGCGCACCAAAGGTCACTCTTACCCAGGGTCACTCCTGCGTGTAGCCGACCTTGGGGTCAGTCAAGGGAGGAAGAACCAAGCAAAGCACCCGACTATTGGCGCTTACGACACGTTCCTGGGTGCTGACTGAAGAGCCCTGCCCTGTTCGATTCCTTCCTCGGGTGCGTTTGCGAGCTGCTGCGCTCGTCGGGGTGCTGATTCCAGGGGGGGGATGTTCTGCCCTCTGGTCAGCAACGTCTTCGGCTCCTCGGGGAGACCTCCGGAGACATCGGCAGCAGCTGCGAGCAGACTCGACGATCTCCACGAGCATGGCTCCGTGAACCCTCCATTTCCACTGAAATCCTCTCAGGCCCCCTGCTCCTCCTCGCCCCCCCGCCTGCCCTCCGCGCCGTGTCCTCCGAGGGCTCCCTCCGCGCAGCGCTCACGGGGGGCCAGCGGATTTTTCGACAGTTGGCCCGCATGCTTAGACGGGGCGCCCCCATTAGTTGGAGGCGCACTTCTGCGGCGTTCTAATTATACTCGGCTGCTGCTGCGATGACCCAGGCCTCCCGCCCAGACCTCCAGCGGCCGGAGCAGATCGCCGTGGGGAAGAGGGGCACTGCAGGAGAGGGGAAGCATGGAGGGTCCTGTCAGAGTGTCCGGCCTCTCTGGGCCTCCTGCGGGCTCGGGACTGCCGAGAGCCTGCTCGGGATGCAAACTGGATTCGTCGAGGGCCCAGGGTCCAGAGCCTATTTTTACATCTAGAACGTGGCGCCATAAACATAAACTTGTTGCGCTCCGCGCGGATTCCCTGGATGCGCGCTGGACCCCCCCCCTTGCGCGCGGAGCGCCAAAAGATCATGTTTATGGCGTTTGTTCTTCGTCTATTCCACCAGGATCCCCCTTCCTCTTTCCCTCACGCCAGAGGTCGCAACGTATATCTTTGCAGTGTCTGGCCTCTGGAGGCGCCGCTGCCGGGACCCGCAGATGCCGCTCCGGGTCCGGAAATATTGATCCTCAGAAAGCGTGTTAGCCCAAGGTGTGTTTGCCCCGCTGAGTTCCGCCGACAGTAGCCTGTGTCGGTCCTCATAGCACCGCCTGCGTCGTACCGGAGGGCTTCAGTGGAAAAGCACACGTTTGCGCTAACACGCATTCTGAGTATCATCGACGAGGGCCGAGAGTTCGGGGGGCCGGCCACTCGAACGAATCGAGTCGACGGAGAGATGGGCAGATGGGGCCGGAGCCAGTGGGGCCCCAATATCGCACCGCACCGCCGATGCATCGACGACGCATTGGCGGCGTCGGTGTGGAGAACGCCGTGCTCGGGATCGTGCCGCATCGCCCATGTTTCGGCGATGCGCTGCGGTCTTGTTGGCCCCACGGGTTCTGGCGTCACCCGGGAGGCCTGGAAGCAGGTGCTATGTGCTATAGGCTTCTTGAGCTTCCTTGGTTTCTGCGCTTCCTGGAAAACCCGCGCCGCGCCATCGAGCGCTTCGCCGCGGTCGCCGAGTTGGCGCCGCATCGCCACGGCTTGCCAGTACATCCGTTGTTCGAGTCGTGGGGTCAGTGTCTTCCCTCGTTTCCATCACTCCAGCAGTGGCGAAGCGTCCTGGCTCGCCTATAGCCCTACCAAACAATGTTCTAAGAAGCTTCTGTGGCTTCCACGACATGTTCTTAGAACATGTCTGGCCGGGACTGCCTCGTTTTGAACGCATCGGGTTGATGCTCTAAGAACAATGTTTCTGTTCTTAGAACACTTTTGGGTTCTGAGAACATGGCGTGGTAGGGCCATAGGAATGCGGGGACGGTCGGTCCCTGCTCAAATCGCCACGCACCGTGCACGGGGATGCCGCCCGAGGAAGACGGTCCCAGCCTCGGGGCCTGTCCGCGGCCCGGGGCCGTCGGACAACTTACACCCGACGGGCCGACGCCACGTGCGCCGACTCTGTGCAGTCTTGCAGGCCCCACTCGGGGGCCACTGCAGTCGGGGACGGAAAGGAGGGGGGTGATGACTAGGGGGGGGTGGATATCATGGCGTGGGCCATGATATTTCCCCAGATTTCATGGCGCCGCTTCTTGTTTCATTACGTCCCTGGCCCCCCCGCTGGGCCGCGCACATGCCGCCGGTCATGATTTGCACCCCCCCCTCTTTGACGCCCCCCTCTTTGCCGCTCCCGAGCTGCACGCACCGAGTCCGTGGAAGGAGGATCTGGCGGAGAGCAGGAGGGAGAGCGACGACCACGAGAGGGGTGATGCGGGAAGGAGGAGGGTGGAGAGGGAGGAGCGTGATGATGACGGGGCGAAGGCTTTGCGCGGGCTCCCACACGGTCCAATATCGGGTGGCCTTCGGCACATCCCGCCTTCTTGTTGGGGGTTGTGGGTCAAAGTCCTCAGGGAAGCGCTTCCGCGCAATTGTCGGGCATTCCAGCACGCCCATCCCGTGCAGGCTCGGCAACGGATTTTGCGCATGAGACCCCAGGGGCAAACAAATCATTCCCCAGCTCCGCGCGAGATGCAGGACGCGATTTCTGCGTGCTTCCGTTCGCTATGACATTCGACGCATGCAATGTGGTGTTTGTTGTTCTCTGGTTGCAGTGGCAAGACTGCAGGCGGTGCCACTAGCCTGAGGTGGATGTTTCAAGGAGGCTTGCTTCATTCTAGGGAAGATTCGATTGTGTCTTTGGACTTCTCGGAGGGGAGTCACGCATTTGTGTTAGGTTGCCGCGTTGCCGCCGCCTCATGAGGTGACGCTGCGGAAGTCTGTGATGACGGGGCTCTTTCGAGGGGCTTCGAGACATGAGCCTCCGAGTTCGGGTCAGAGATGAGGCATCAAAGGCTGCCTCCTCCGCAGGCAGGTCGCCTGCTATGCTTCCTAGAGGCCCCAAAAGGGCCGGTGGACTCGTGCCAATCAGATGGGACGCCGACCTCTGAGAACGCCCTGTGTCCATCAAGCATCCGTTTCCTTCATGTCCCTCGTCCTTCATGGCAATATCCCCACATGGTTTGCTTCCTCCTCTGTCGTTCGACGAGGTGGCGGTGACCGGCGCCATGAGCGGGCGGGCCGAGTGCGATAGCTCTTCGCGCGCTGGCCCACGAGCGTCGTTTGGTCGTCCGCCCGTCGGTACACGCTTCCCCATGTTTTTTCAAGTGGGTACATCAAGCGTTTCGGGGGGACACTCGGAGCACAGTCGGGAGGGAGAGGGGCACGCACAGGGGGTGGGGAGGGG